TTAGCAAACTACATTCGTTGCGCAGACAAAGTCCTCAGTCAAGGGGGCCACATTGCCTTCGAGTGGCCAAAGACATGTGCCGGATGGGACTTGCCAGAGCTGATCAGGTTTGTCAAGAGGCATGACTTGTTCGTGGCGGAACCTCAAGGTTGTGCATTTGGACTCTGTGACCAAGAAGGTAAATGTCACCTCAAGACGTGGAGAGTTGTAACCTCTTCATGGAGGTTGGCTAAAAACCTAGACAGTGCCAAGTGCCAACATCCGCGTGACTATAAGCATTCACCTCTTGCAGGCAGTAAGACACCTAGAAGTGCCTTTTATCCGATGCCTATGGCAAGGTGCATTTCTCAGTCCTTGTATCCCTGGATTGACGCACCGCCTGCAATGCCTGTGCAAGTGTCAGCTGGGCCAAACTCCGTGCGAGAGTTCCTGTGTGGCGACCACGCCCCAGAGGACGAGGCAGGTCATCAGGAGCTGCCAGGAGTAGAACATGTGTTTGCTGGCATCCACAAGTTGTTGGAGAGGAAAGAATGGGGTAACTTTCCTGGAGCGCAAGACGCCATTGACAATGAAGTGAATGGGCTAGTAGCTAACGGAACCTGGACTTTCGATGAGGTAATCTCAAAAGAGGACCTTTTGGCAAGATGTAAAAGGAACAAGGAGCATATCAACATTGCTTCCCTAATGACCATCTTGTCGATAAAGCATTGGGAAACCCCAGAACTCCGTAAACTCAAGGCCAGGATAGTTTTCCGAGGGGATCACATCCTCACGGAAGACAACAATCTTGCGGTGCTCCAAGAAGCAAAAGTCACTCCGACCGGAATGACCGGTGTCAACATCAATCTAGCATACGGCGCCATCAAGGGTCACGAAACTCGTCAATCAGACGTAGTAAAAGCCTACACCCAAGCGTACCTTGGGACAAAGGTGCCCACATGGGTGATCTTGCCTTGGGAATTGACTCCTCCAGAATACCGGCGCTTCAAACAGCCGTGTGTGAGGTTGGTCAGGAGCCTTTATGGCCATCCCGAATCAGGATACCATTGGGATCAAAGGCTAAGGGAAGTGATGAAACTTTTGGAAGGTCAACATGTTGATGAATTTCCATCTTCATTTTGGTTTCCACAAAGGAAGCTTCTTGTAACCTGCTACGTCGACGACATTCTGTGCTCAGGGCCGTCGTCAGAACAAAACAAGTTTTGGCAGGAAATCGAAAAGCATTTGGAGATCGAACCTCCAACTCAAGTTGAACGTGTGCTGGGCAGACAGCATAAATTCGACCGGACCAATGGATCGACCAAGGTTTCGCTCGAAATGTTCGACTTCATCGAGAATGCATGTGCAGTGTATGAGGACTTGGCTCAATGTAAGTTGAGCACAGCTAAAAGTCCTTTCTGCCCAGAAGGTAGCCTTACAACCGCTGACTTTGAAAGTAAAGGGGTTTTGGCAACTTCTGCATGCAAAATCTTGATGAAAATCCTCTGGTGCGCTAGGCTAAGCCGACCCGACCTAATGAAAGGGATAGGGGATTTGACACGTAGGATTACCACTTGGAGCCGAGCAGATGATAAACGGCTCCATAGGCTAATGTGCTACCTGTATGGGTCAAAAGGGTATACTTTACAAGGACATATAGGCGACCCGCCAGAGCTGCTCAAGCTGTGCTTGTACACAGATGCGGACCACTGTAGTGGCATCGAACACACAAGAAGCACGAGTGGCATGTTCTTGTCCATTGAGGGCCCTAACACCTTGTGGCCAATCGCGTGGGGCAGTAAACGCCAAACCGCGACTGCCAGGAGCACAACAGCAGCAGAGATGATCTCACTAGGATCAGGCCTTTTTGGCGAAGCATTGCCAGCACAAGGCTTCCTGGAATTGATCTTGGACCGTCAGGTCACGCTAGAGTGCTTTCAGGACAACTCAGCTGTAATCCAGATCGTGGCTGCAGGTTATAGCCCCAAATTGCGACACCTCACGAAGACGGAGAAGATCGAACTAGGTTCAGCTTATGAGGTCTTCGAAGATCCAAGTTGCAAACTCCTGTACATAGCAACGGACAAGCAAAGAGCAGATGTGTTTACAAAACCATTGCCGGTGTGCAAGTGGGACCATGCACTAGACCTACTTAACATGGCATCCTTAAGCTCAACTTGCAAAGTGCCATCTCGTGAAGCGGAAACGCTCCGAGACCCGTAGGCGTAGGCCAGATAGTTAAATAACTAAACTGGAGTCTGCGTAGGACACTTTCCGAGTGTGAGAAGGGGGAGAAGAATGCCCCCTGCTGGAATCCACATTTTCCTGATGGTAGGTGGTGCATGCATGTCTAATTCAACCTTGCCCCCGGAATTCATGTTTGCTTGAACTTTCCTTTGAATCAGGTTTCCAGGGTTGACACTGATGAGAAACAGTCAGTTCGCCTTGGATGACTTGTACATTTTGGCTCAAGGCAAAACAGGTTGTGCGAGTGAAGCTTCCGGTGCCGCCATAGCACTTTTGGGCATACTCTTTACTTGAATTGTCTTGATTCGTATTTCGACTTTTGTTCCAGGGAGGTTAGGCAAATGGAAGCAGAGGGAACCACGGGAACACCAAAGGAAAACCAAAGGGAAACCAGAGAAATACCAAGGGGGAAAGCCACTAATTGACGGGTGGAGGCCCGGTAGTTTACCATGGCTTGTACTTGGCTTGCGCCAATATCCAGTTGGCATCCCTGATTGGCAGGCACCCCTGGGTCACGAGCAGACCTATGAAGTGCTGTGCCGGCCTAAGGAAGTCTTCAGACCAAATGTGGCTCCAACAAAAACGAGCTTACCCGCGACGAGGCCGTATGGGTGGTCAAATTTCCGCAGCCTAGTGACTTTGCCCTCGATTTGCTTGAAGTGGTACCTGTCAGGTTGCCACATGGTCCCTGCTTGCCACCTGTGAAGGGGCTTTTGGCCTCTATTTACTCAAATCTGCTTATGTTTCCCCTGTTTGTTTTCAGGCACCACCTTGCGGTTGCCAATAGGGAGTTTCCTCTAAGGGTGCTGTTAAACATCGGGAATGCCAATCATTGTGTGTCCTCCGTTGAACCTACTGGATTTCCACTTCAAGGTGATCCGAGGGGCTTTCGGTTCAATTGCTGCACGGCTGCGCGTAGATTGGTTTCCTTCTCTCGCTGTGGTTTCTCCCGTGGGAGCTTGATTTGGGGGCACTTTATTGTTAACACCATTTGCATGGCCACTTATAAAAGTACTACACCCTAGCCATCTTATGACATGGTTTTGCTGACATGCGTAGCTATTTGCTGCACTTGTCCATGTTCCCCTTAAGAGGCTGGCACGGAGCATGGCGGTGCCCCAGACGCAGATCTGGGCGCGGATCTGGGTGTAGCACCAGGAAACCAAATCATAGGCCATGCGTTCATCCACATGTCACGGAGAAGAGGTGGCCACTCGCCAAGGGCGGCATTTGTTTTGTTCTTTCCTTCGGCTTCCTTTCAGGTAATTACATCCTGTGAGCGCAACCCCGGGCGGGGTTTTGGATTTGATCCTTTCCCCCAAGAGCTCCAAGCTGGTTTGATGGGACCAGAGAGGCCGAGAGCTCTCCGGAGCAGGCTAGGGTGTCCAAGAGGCTGCTTCCAGTGGGTTTTGTGTGGTACACACTGCGGGTTTCGTTTCAGCCACGGCCGCCCCAACGGTCTCGCCGTGGCCGTCCCTTTGCTTGGATCTCTTTCCATCAGGCGGCTGCTTCACCAGCCCCGTGCCGAGCGGGTGGGTGGCGGTGAGAGTGCTGCACTCTCCGGGAGCTGACTGGGGGAGGTTCTCCTTGGAGGACCCCTTTTTGGTGTCCAAATGGAAACGACCACACTGTTTCCATTTTGGGAGGCCGAGTCCTTTGAGAAGCCTGGGCACTTTGAGCTTCCCGAACGGCTCCGATTGGGTGCTCTTCCGCGATGTTGAAAGCATTGGGTCCTCCTTGGGAGGTCCCATTTGATGGGGCTTTCTCTGATTGATTCGTTTCCTTGGGCTGAAAGCAGTGGAAGTGAGCTAATTTGCGTTTCTCAGACGGATTGGCAAATCCTTCAGGGGCACGTTTTTGTTTTGGTTTTCCGAGTCGACAAGTCGGACGCCAACACCTTAGGGGCCACTCTCGCGTAGGCTCAGAGCCGCTCCGAAAACTCGAACACTTGATCTCAGACAAATGGCGGGCGAATCGGCCAGTGCAAATTGACCAGGACCCACACCCCAAGTGAGGCAGCAGGGTGAACTCGGGGTTTGGCTAAGCACTTTGATATGTGTGCTTGGACCTTTTTGAAAGCTTTGCGTGGCATTGCCGCCCTTTTCAAGACCAGTTCATCCCTCCCATTTCTTTCCACGAATTCTCTTCAGAAAAAAGGGCAGAGAAACTTGAACACGCGCCTGGGCCTGGGAAGCACACGAGAGAATGTGAAGCCAGCCTTCACCACTCACCCTGGTGCCAAGTAATTCGCACGGAGCCCAGCTGGTTTTGGTTTCGGGTCTGCAGTACACTTCACTTGTACAGGGAGCTTTCTGCGTGCCCCGCTACGACATTATGAGGGAGGGCAGGGCACTCGGGGCCTCGGTGCCGGTGCCGGTACGCTCGGAAGAACTCCCTGGGCCAAAAAATGCAACAACCAGCGCAACAGAGGTGCAACCTGCTTGGCAAGTAGGCTGAGCCGTGGTCTTGCAAGACTAGCGGCTTGGCCCCTTTGCCTTGTGACCATAGCCTACTTGCTACACTAGGTAATTAGAACATTTGTCGTCCTTGGCGAGGTCATCCTGACTCTGGCTGTTTTCCTTTGAACATTTGAGATGCTCCGCCCAAATTGAATCATGCTTTGGAGGGGCCCTTTTCCTCAGCTGCCTAGTGGCGTCCTCAAAATCCCATTTTGTTTGGTGGGGTCCCCGCAGGTAGACCACCTTTTGGGTTACTGGATGAATCTGGGACATGGGATTAGCCTTTAAAATGGAAATGCCCCACCCCTCCCAAAAATGCTGGTGTCTTCTACGTCTCTCTCTCTCAAACACTTTTTTTTTTTGGGAGGGGGGGGGGGGCGGGAGGCTCAAAAAAGACACATCCCCCTTGGTTGCCTGCAGGGGTTTTCGGGGCTCCCCTGCCATGTCCACCAAACGCATGCGATGTCCCTCACCTTCGGATCCCTGTGCCCGAGGCTGGAGGACATCGATGACGTGGGGGAAGTGCACCACAACGCCCCTTGGCACACCTAGGTCCCCCAGTAGTGCCGTTTTATCGTTTCTTTCTTTGGGGGAGGGTTCCCCTACCAAAATAGACTGCAGAAAGAAGGGTACCTTTATTCTAACCTCTCTACTGGAGGACCTAGACACAGTTCACCATTTCCCCAGACTTGTGTGCATCGAGCTCGCGGGGTAGTTAGAAGGAGCTCCAAGAAAACGAAGGGGTCCTTCATCCAGACCTCCAAGGGTACCATCCGGGGCCACTCAAGCAACTACGGGGGGAAAAACAGATTAAGAGGATGTGTTTTGTTGGATGTATGTTTTGGGGAACCCTGATTACCCTGCCACCAACAAACAGGAAGTGCACAGTAGGAAGGGGCCTGTTTATTTCCATGGTGGAAGGGTAGGAACCCTCCAACAACCAAGTGGACAGGAAGGTGATGGAAGGCTACATTCTCTTTGCGGAAGCTTTTGCAGAGTAACCGGGGGTTTGCATTGGTCGTCCACTTTACATTTCAAAATTTGAAAGCCAAAGAAAAGCAACAGCAGCAAAAAACCAAACACAAGCCTCGCTATTTTCTCATGCCACGGGTACTGCATATCTCGCCTCCATATCGCGGGCTTGACTCATCAAAGGGCACTTCCCATCTTCCGGCTTCCAGGGTGTCTCCTCTAGACATTATTTGTGTTTTGGGATAGGCGAACTATGATCAGCAGCCAAACATCTGAGTTTCGGCGCAGCGGAGGTTTCAAATCTTCCAGCGGATGGGTTCAAAGTCCCGCCTTGCGCACGAGCGGGTTAGGCCGTGTTCAACGACGAGGTGGAGCTGAAGCTGCGCCCTGAGGGGAATAACCGGGAGGGCTTCGGGGCGTATCAGCAACAAACATGGGGGTGCAGAGGTTTTTTGGATGCCAAGATAGCCCAAGTTGATCCCACTTTTGGATGGCCTTCCGGAGAAAGGGCGACTTTTTTTACAGGAAGGTTTGTTTGCGTCAACGCTTCCTTGCCGAGTTGGCTAGTTGGCTCGCCTACCCTTTCCATGAAACCGTCGCCTTGGGGCAGAAAAGACAAGCGCAGCCCGGCGGCAAGCGGCAAGGTTCAACGCCTACGGCATCCCGCTGGCGTATGCCACTGCTTACAAGAAGTGAAGCCGCTTGCCCCCGAGGTTCGGTTTTCGCGACCCAAAGGAAGGGAAGGAACCCAAGGGTCGATTGTCGGTGACTGAAAAATGGAAAAACAACAACTGTGTTTTGTTTTTGCCGCGAAGGAGGTTTCTCCCTCTAATTAAAAGTTGTTTTCAGAAGAGGTTTCAGGTTGGTTCGCGGAGGGGAAATGGGCGCCTGGCCCCAATTTTCCGGCTCGGGCGGTTTTGCTTGACAGTCAACATCACTGGTGATATGGTTTGGCCAGATTCGGGGATCAGATCATTGCTGGTGCTTGCGTAAGGCGCCGGGGATCATCCAGAAGTGTCTTTGGTGCCGGCGGGAGCGTGCCGAAATCTCAGCATGTCCAGTCCTTTGCCCTGCGCCCCCCATCATCCAAAGGCACGAAAAAAATGTCGCCGCCGGCAGCGGAAGCGATGAAGCTCAAAGAAAGCAGTCTCCGGGCTTAAAACGGCCGACGCCCCCGGGCATTTTTCATCCTTCGTCAAAAGGGGGCGCCGGGCGGGGGGAGTGTTTTTATTTTGGGGGGCAGGGACACCCCTGCCTGTCTTGCTCAAAGAGGGCATCAGCTTCAAGCCGTGCCCGTTGCGCGACCAAGCTTGTCAAATCAGGGGGCGCCTTTTTGGACAGTTTCAGTAGGGAAAGAAACATGAACCAACCATTTGAGGGGAGGATACCCCGCGACGTTTGATCCCACGCCAACGCGTCTGTCTTGGGTGACTTCACAACCTCAACAAATGTCAACGTTGCCAGTCACAGGGCGTCGCTGAACAAGGGTCGTGCGCGTGGTTTTGAGCAAAGACGAACCTTCAATACCATCCACACTCCCGCGGCCATTACGCTTGCCCCTTGGGTGAGACTCCCTTGTTTGGTGGTTGCAAAGCTGGGCTGGAGCAAAATTGCGTGCACGCCTCGCCTGGGGCTGTGCAAACTCGGTGAAGAACCCCTCCTGTTTTGGCATCGTTGAATCCATTTTTTCAGAAATCGGATCAGCTGTATTTCAAAGTCAATGGACCAGAATCATTATCTGCCCAGTACAATTCGCATGGCACGTGACGTTCTGGGGTCCCTTCAAGAGGAAAAAAATGGTCTTCAGGACCACCCTGTCAGGTTCCATGTGAATTGGTGGGAGTTGTTTTTCTTTTTTTAGTGAGTTGAGGACGCACCCGGTGAGGTCGTAGCATATGTTTTGAGTAGTCGTGGAGGCATCCGGCCCCTTGGAGTCTTGGCCGTGCGAGGGGCTCGAGCGAGCCGGTGGGACACGTTTCAACGGGCGTAAGATAGGCGCCGGGGCAAATTGCATCAAACCTTGAGCCCCTGATTTTGATTTTGGAGGGGCTTGCAAGAAGATTCCTTGAGCGGTCTCCCTTGAAACCACCCTGCAGAATCGCTAACTTTGAGGATGCCCACTTGAGTGAACCAAACAAAACCAAAGGGGTTGCGACACTCATGAAGGCTTCTTTCATTGGCGTTTCGAAGTTTGGGATGCGTGCAAAGCTTTTGGCCAAGCCTGCTTGAGCTGACAAGGGGCGGCAAGTGGGTCTTGCCATGGCCTTGCATGAGCTTTTGCGAGGAGCCGCGGAAGGCCGGAAAACGCGGATGCCTTGAAACTTAGGTCAAGCTCATGGAGCCGGGGGTGCAACCGGTCCATTTTTGATTGTTGTTTCATGTCGCTTGGTGAACATTCCAGGTGTTCTATATCCAGCTCGCCGATGCTAGCATCGGGTCACCCATGAAGGTCCTATTCTTGGGGCTCCCAGCTTCAAGAAAGCGAAAGTCACGGGCGATTTCTGCGGGTAATTCGGATTAAAGCGAAAGTCACGGGAAAGTCAAAGCGAAGTTTGGATTAAAGCTGAACGCTTGGCACGGGGCGGCGGCCATTTAGGCTTCATATGCCGCCATGGGTCATAACCTATGCCGATCCCATTTTGGGGCGGATCACCCATGTACCACCTATTTTGACGTTCACCAGGAGTTTGCTGGGTTTGACACGCAGCCATGCTGTGGCTGTTCTACCCTGCTCTTTGGGCCTTTGCCTTGGCCTCTCCGGAATTCTTCCCGCTTAGCCATGCAACGTTTTGTGCCGGCCGTCGCCTGGATCTTGGCTTCGCCCTAGGTGAATTAACCCATGACATTTTCAATTTGTCCGAGCCTCACTGCTGGTTTCATTTTTTCTTCGACCCCCAAGTTCGTTAAAGGGATTTCCCGGCCCCCAAAAGACACATTTCGAGACCTCAAAATGGACCTGGGCCACTTTAAGGGGCCCAGTTTTTTCCCCTGAACGCCTTCGGGCGCTGTTTTATGGGACGTGCCAGGGGCTGAAGGCCGCGGACATCCAGAGCCGCCGCGAGGAGCGGCGTGCGGAGCGCCCGGGGCCGAGGGGCCCCTGAGACACGGCCGGAGTAGCGGCCCGCTCCCCGAGTTCCTTGACTTTATGCGTCTTTTTGTTCTTGATATTTTTTTTGGGGGGGAAGACCGTGTTGGTCGCAAGCAACATGTTCCGGGGCGTTTTTTTTTTTTTCCTTTTGTTTTGGGTAATGTTGGCCCAACCCCCTTGAAGAAGTGAGTGGTGAACGTCTGGTTGATTTATAGGGTGTCGTCTTTTAGTGGGGAGTCCTCGCTTTTAGAGGGAACACCCCCTCATAACAGGACGGGTTTGTCAATCCGGGGTCAGCATTACAAGGACCGAATAGAGTAGAATGGAGTTGTGGAATGAAGTCATATGTGTAGTTATTTGAGTGCCTTGTTGCTTAGCTAGGGACAATGTAAAGCAGGTCGTGCAAATCGGGTCGAACTTTCCGCACTGCTCATCGGCGCGATTTTTTTGGGGTGGTGCTGAGACGGGGAATGAGCGAGCCGAGAGAACAATGACCTTTTCAGGGCGTCGAGTCGATCTTTTCGGGACACGGCAGTTGGGGCCTGGGCTGCCTGGAAGGCAGTCGTTGCACTCACTGCGGGAGGATGCCCTTGAATTCTATGGATGGCGTTGGGCCCTTCTGCCAGGTGGTTTGGGAACCCACGACGCATGCTGGGTGCTATGCTTTCCCATGATTCGGGGTTTCCTCCAGGAAGCATCAAGAGGACCAGCGTTTTTTTGTTCGATTCCCAGACCTATTTGCCATCTGGGCGACCAGCTGCTTGTAGTTCCAAGCAGGCCGGGTAATGAGCGGCTCTTTTTTTTTGGTTAGTCCACGTCGAGGCGGATGGATCAATGCCAGCTGTCCGAGGTTTCCATATCAAACATCATGAAATATGCAATCCAAGCAAAGGTTCCTTTTGGTGGAACCTAGCTTGCCACCCAGCACTCTGCAGGATGGAGGGAGCTAAACCCCTCAACCCACTCTGCCAGCAAGCCAAGCCCAAACCTTGGAAGTGAGACGCATGGTCTCAGCGCCACAAGAATGATACTCGCTTTGGCCATTGAACCACCTGAAATCAACCAGGGCAACAACCAGATTGCACGCAGTGGGGCGAAATGTTCAGGGGCTATCTAGGGCTTTGGTTGCCGATGCGTTTCAACCATAATGCTGCCTTTCATTAGGTGCCGAAACCACTAAGCATGGCCTCAAAATGTAAAATGGGCGTGGGTGTTTTTTAGGGTGCCAATTTCGGGTGGTTTTCTTGCACCCGGAAAGGAGGACCACCATTTTCGAGGTCACCCCATTTTGACACATACCCAAATTGCAACTAGTTGCAATCAGCTCGAGTTTTGATGGCTTAGGTGAGGAGGAGTTGGAGGCCGGGCAATTCCCCCTGAGTCTTTATGACCCATGGACCCCTACCAGACCACCTCCCCAGGTCCCCGTCCGTTTAAGACATGCAGGCAAAGGAGCGAAAGGAGTGAAAAGGCGGTGCCTCGGGGTACGTGGATGAATCAAAGGGTGGTTGTTCGAGCTGTCTGTCTCGCAACATAATCTGTTCTGGCAACCTGCAGGAACGACTCCAAAAGACTCAAGAATCAGCAATCAAGAGGCGAGGGGTGCACGGCCCAGTCCGAACCAGACCTTTCGATCGTTTGGACTCCCTTGTTTCTGGTCCCACTATTTCAATAGTTTCTTCTTGGGTTGTGAAAGTCAGCTAAGATGGTTCCCACAAGCCCGAAACGGTCATTTGCAAATGGGGGCATGATTCAAGAACCCCCCCCAATCTAGTTGGCCTCCCTTTGGTTCCCCTTCAAAGCATCATAAAGGCCAACTCCAAATGGGGGGCTTGTTTCTTTCAAAGGAAAAGCTACCCAGGTCCTTTTGTGTTTGGGGTGGGGTGGGTGGGGGTACCTAGTAAACAAACCTCCAGCGGAATTTCCCGACTTTTTAAGCCCTCGCTTGCCGAAGCTTCCAGCCGGTTTTTCGGAGGCCGTTGCTCTGGAGATCCAGCAGCGAAGAGAGGAGCACCGGGTGCAGCGCAGGCGGGTGGGGGGGTGGGGTGGGGTTTGGGGGAGGCTTGGGGGTGGGTTGGCCAAGGTCGACTCCATGGGTGGTGGGTTTGGGGAGGGGCCCTACGGGTGCGCTCAAACAAAATTTTGTTTGGAGGAGGGAGGGGGGTGAAGGGTGATTGGACATTGTTTCGCCCGCGGTTCGGGGCTGGAAAGCTGAAAATCGAATTGGGGAACTGCCCACTTTGTGCGCTTGAAATCCGGTTTCTGCGGCCTTTGGCGCGATGGGTGAAGTCCCCTTTAAGGGTCCATGGCGCACTGGGGGTGGTGCCAAAATCATCACAGGGTGTTTTTCCGTGTGCCCTCCAAGTATGCCCCGGGCTTCCCTTTAAGGAAAATCCTCAAGAATGCGGGGTACCACCAAAAGCCAGCATTTCCACGTGGAAGCTACAATGTTGCCAGGCCACCTTCAAAGAGGAGCCAAAAAGAAGTTGCTTAAAGAAGGATGGCCATGTGGGCTTGTCTCAAAATACGGGAACCTTTAAAATGGATGGTGTTCCTGTTGGTTCTTTTTAGAACCTCAAAATGGGTACCCGAGAAAACAAAAAAAACATATTCGCATAGTGAGTCTTCAACATTGCGTGAATTGAGAGGAGAACCCGCACTCCCTTGCGTCCTATGGTAGATACGTTTCTAGGCTTGAATCCCCATTCTTTATAGTTCAAAAACCAGTTGTTTCCCGTGGTTTTTTGCATTTTTCCTGAAAAGAAGGATCGCTGGGAAGAATGGAAATGGCAGCTTCCCCTGGAAAACAAGTTCTAAAGTGGTTGGCGTTGGCAAATCCCAGCGATGTCTCGGTGTCTCCGTGTCTCGGTGTCTCGCCAGCACTCTGGAAAGCTTCACCCTGGAAGCCTGCCGCAGCAGCGTGGAGCATCAGGAGGGAAGGGGCTGGAAGGAAAAGCCTTTGACGTGGCCGGGCTTTGGCCAGATGGCCCCACGGCTGTGGAGCACGTTTTTTTGTTGGGGCCTCATGTTGTGGTACCAAGGGAGTTACCTTGAAGGTGTTGACGTAGTTATAGGAATGGCCCTCTGTGATATCACAGCAGGTATTTTCTGCAACCCTGGGATGGCTCGCATGGGAACTCAAACCATGGCCGTATCGATTCCAGGATTCCAGGGTGCCTCAGCCGCGTTTGGCTCCAGATTTGTCCATCATTTGGCTGTGGCTCACAAAACCGGAATTCCAACATGGCTTGCCCTGGCAAGCGGAAACACGGGTACCAAAACCCGCGGACCCCGCCCCGCTCGTTTCATTTGAGCCACATTTGGCGTGGTTCCCCCCTCTCCCGGCTCTTCGCGGCATGGGACGAGCAAAGCGCAGGGTGTCGCGGCATGTCACTGCCGCGCTGCCAGTGGGCTTTCAGGAATCTCCCATGGAATTCAATGACCTTGCGACACAGATCCACTCCATGTCTTTGAGGCTCGGTGCCATTTGTTTGACATCGCAGGATCAATGCTGGGAAAACTGCTGGTTTCATGGTATGGTATGGGGAAAAATGGTATCGAAACTCAAATTCAGCGAGGGTCCTTGGTTTCAAGATATCTCGGCACTCCACAAGGAGCTCAACCATTTGGGGGGTACAACGCGAGGTGGGATACCAAACTTGCCCATCCAGTTTGCCTTCAAAGGGGGATGGGCCATTGCTCATTTTTCCCAGGCCCCCTCTGTATCAAACCTACGGAGCCGGCGACATATTCATTCGGAGCACATGGCACATGTGGCACTTCTCCGGGCCGCACTGGACCTCGGCTTCCGCCGCCGCGCTGCTGGAGCTTGAGCCTTGGCTTCCCCCCCTCCGACTGCTTTTTTGGACTTGGACGTTGTCAGAATCTTGAGACCCATTTGGTCAATCTCCGTTTGCTGGATGGTCCCTCTACTATTCTCCAACCTCTGTTGCCACAATGGGCACGGGTTTTCAACAGGAAGCGGCAATCCAACAGACCTCAAGAGACCTCAAGCCTCTTCTCAGGGCTTCCTCTTTCAACCTTTGAGTCTTCTGGGGGTTTGCAAGCAAATCCCCACCAGGCTTGGGAAATGGTCTGCCGTCCGCTCTCCAGTAAGGCCGTGGAGAACAGGATCTTAAACGACGGCTTCCCGGCGAAGAGCAAACACGTCTTGGTGTTTGGGGGGTCAAAGGCCAACTCATGTTCCCGTCCGGGTGCTTGGCCCTCAGACTGGCTGCTTGTCCAATCTCCCCCCTCCGACTGGAATGTGACCACTGATTTATGATCCTAGATGCGGCTCTCTTTTGGCGGGACCCGTCTGTTGAACAGAAACAAACTCTTCTTAGCAAACCCATGGATGAATACGTAGAATCAACCCAGCACTGGTTCACTCAGGCACTGTCATTTAGCAGGGATGAATTCCCTTCTTCCAGGGGAGCCCAGGTGAGCAGTTGGTACATGAGTCAGTCTTTGGTGGCATCCCAATCTTGAGAACCCCCGTATCGGGTTTCACATGCAGCCTTTGAATCAGAGGGTTTCTAGGCCCCGCGTCCGCATCCTTCCCATCGGCGTGGCCGCGCTGGTCCTGGCGCAGCGTTTTGGCAGCAGGAGCAGCGCACCCCCTCGGCCAATTGACGGGAGCAGCTTCGCAGGGGTTAGAGGGCCCAGCGCAACCTCTATGGCGGTAGAACCAAAAGTCAAGAGCATAGGTGTCCTTTTTGGTTGCTAGAAAGATAGATGGCGATTCCTGGTTTACCTGGTGGTCTAATCATCTACCAGGGGGAAAATCTATTTTGCCCAAGTCAAGAGGTGTTGGTCGCTCACAAGGCACGACACCATTTTAATTTTTTGACGGGGCGAAGAGTTCAAGGCTCAAGGCTCAGGCTCCAGGCGCAGGCTCAGCGCCCGTGTCGTCAAGGACGCCTGACCGACCCACCCAGCGGCGCAGACTGCAATCCCCACTTCAATGAGATGGATGATGATCCTGAGGAGATGGTGCCACATATGCCCCCCAGGCTAGCCCCAAATAGCAGGATCCCTTTATTAAAAGGATACATGTCGGGCAGTTGAGACACCAGCCTCACCAGCTGATGTAGAGGACCCCCCTGCAAATCAGGCAGATTTTGGATGCATCCTTTAAGGGTGATGGTGCGCTCCAGTTGTCCAAAGCACATCGCCCTTTTCCCCTTTTGGGTTGTCCATGCTTGGTCGATTTTGAGTCAAGATCCCAAGAAGGTGAGAGCCATGATTGTTTCCAGCTGCTTTTGGCGGGTGAGAGTACAAAAGAAAGCCCCCGTGCTTTGTCATGGCTGGCTTTGTAGCTCCCAGCACCACCGGGCTCAGAAATGGCTAATTGGTCAACCCCGCTGTGGCTCCCGTCCATTTACATAGAATCCACCAAACAGTCCATTTGAAAGGAAACTCGTCTTCCAGGACCCGGCAAAGTCAGGTTCCATGTTAGTGGACAGGAAGGCCATTTTCCTTCAAAATCGTCCCGAGGCTGGTCTTGGACACTGTGCTGATCGGAACCACTGACTTCTCGCACGTTTTCGGGCTGCAAAATTCGCCAGAAGGGGAATGGTAGGGAGCCTGGTTGCCTCACGTTTGTATGATTTTGTTATTTGGGGGACCCTTGAGAAGATCACTTTGGGCATTCCCTCTTAAAAATCATAGCCACGTCTGATCATGTTTTCTGGAGGGAGTTGGCTGCAGCATTGGCCAGGATTGGCACCCCAATGTTGGCAACCATTCTGGAGAAGCCGACCTCAGGGCAGTTAGGGGTGATGGACTGATCCTCGATAATTTGCTCACTTCTCGATGTGTCGGGCCTCAATGGCAAAAAGGCCTTCAACTTGAGTAGCTGAGTCTTTTGAGCTCTGATACTGCCTGGTAGTGCTTATGAAAAGTGGCCCCCACGTCTTGCATGGGAAGATGGCGTTGCAGACGGCCCGTCATTTGGACGCCGGCCCCATTCGCGCCCAAGGGGCCCAGCTCTGGGGCGCGGCACTACCTGTGGCAGAGCTCACAGAGCTGACGAGGCGGACAGACAGGCGGGGTGCGGCCAGGTTTCTGGTGTTCGTCTTAGAGCCAGGGTCAGTCACGTTGTGCATCATTGCTCCGTCGGAACCACCACCACCACCACCAGAACCCACGCGTAATGGTCCGGAAAATGGAGCCAAGGGGACAGCTAAGGGTTGGAGAATAGCTCTTTTTTTTTGTAATTTGCAGAGTGCCTTGAAGATTGGGGCAGGCACGCTTTGGCGCTTGTTGCAGCTATGCTCCACTTGGGTCTGGGGTGCATGGTGCGGATCCGGACGAACACTTTGGCAATTTTCCGCCCCTCTTGCTAGGCAACCCTGGGGGCATCATGCGCAGCGGTTGCTCAATCCCTCTGGGCACGTAACGAAGCTTGAGGCTTTGGCCCGATTTGGATTCCAACAGCCATCAGATGTCGTACCTGTGCTACAGACTCATGCGCCCATTTTGCGAGAGTCCAAGGTTGGTTTAGATGGATGCGGCTGGATTCCGATGGTTTCAGCTTGGTCCGGATTTTTTTTTCAGCGCCATCCAGTTTTCCAAGATAAATTGCCTAGACTTGCAGCTTCCAGGCGGTACTTTTTTCTTTGGGGTATTCGTTTTGGGCTTCAGAGCGGACCCCAGGAAAGCCACCCATGTCGGGGGGTTCCGGCACTGACTGGCGAGCGCACCCATGCGGGGGAGGGCCCAAGCTGCGACACCAGTGGGCCTGGTCTCACTTCCCGAGTTCCTGGGCTTTGGTTCTTTCCGTTTCGGGGGAAGCCGTTTTTGGTGGTAAAAAACCAAGTTCCGGGACTTTGTTGTGAGTGGGCAGACTGTCCGTTTCTCACAGCCTCCAGGGAAACACCATACGACGCCGCCACAAACTGTGATTTCTTTGGCCCGAGTGCCTCGGCATTTCGCGCCCATCGCCGATCCAAAAGCATGGCGCTCCTGCGCTCGGCGGCGCGCTTCAAGCACTGCTGGTCCCCTGGGGACAAGCAGCTCGGGCAGCGATTTGACCTTTTGCTGCGGGGGGGTTATTTTGATCGTTCCCGGGGGTTCTCAATAGTCAGCTGGGGGTGTTTGCCTTTAGCCTACCAATTAGGGGATGTTTCTTGATGGTGAACTAGTCAGGCCAGCTTTGGTGTGGTGGCTTCTTTGCCCTTTTGGTTTTGATCTTACGATTTCTTGCCATCTGACCTTTCCAATGGGACCAAAAGGGGTTTTCCGTAGTGGTAGCTTTTGGAGCTGTAGTTTGCACGGTGCCTGCGGTTTGAGCGAGGCAGTACGTGGGCTGCTGGGAGGCCGTTGGGAGCGGTAGCCGGTTTGAGCGTGGAATGGAGATCGCGCAGGTTTTGGCTATTGCTTTCTTGGCCCAAGCAGAAGTTCGTGGATGGCCAAGTCTCACTTGATGCGAACTCAAGTTTCCGGGCTCCTGCAGCATGTTGCTGTTTCCCTTGCGCTGGGGTTGTGGGGCGGGTGAACATGCCCCCGACTTACCTTCCCCAACCCTCAGGGGACCCTGCAAAAATGTTTTGGATCGCTCAAAATTAACGAGCTAGGGTTACGCAGGTTTTGGTCTATGTTTCCACTTGCCAGCAGTCCATTTTGGTACCGGTTTTTGAGCCATACGCACATGTGTAGCATCCGGAAGGAACCCATAGAACCGGCCTCAAAAGCTAGGAACAATCTCTTGTCCTCAGGAAGTTGTGGGACAGAAAAAAGCGCAAGGCGGGTTTTGGGGGTTCGCCATGGCACGAACATTCAGCCCTGGATATTCATGTACATATACACAATATTAAATATATATATATATATATAATATATATATCTCTCTCTAAACCTTCACGCACCACACCAGCAGAAACTTCCCAACTCACCCAAGTCACCCAACTCACCCAAGCTCCCCAACCC